AAAAATATTCTGTCATTCTAATCTATTATTGCATTCTTTCTTCTTTTTAATGTGAACCACCAACAAACATTGGACTTGGGTGGTATATGGATTTCATCATCATTGTCTAACCACTGTAGGATGAAGGCCTCTTCTGCATGTTTCCAAGCAATACAGTCTTGAGCTTTCCTTTGCCAATTGGGACCGCAATACTTACTGATGTTATCCCTCCATCTTGGTTTAGATCTCTTTTGTGGACATTCTATAACTGCCTTAGTCTACCTGCCATCAGTTCTTCTTGCCATGTGACCAGACTATTTCCATTTAAATTCTTTAAATGGCACTCTTTTGATGGCATTGTATATTTACGTTTCTTCTTTAATCCATGTGCAGGTCTTTCCATCTTGTGTTGTGATGTCAAGCATGTAACTTTCCATGGCTCTTTGCGCCATTTGTAGCTTTTGTATTGATTGTGTCCATGTTTCGCTAGCATACGTTAGAATGGGTAGCACACACTGATCGAAAACTTTTCTCTTCAGGCATAGGGGGAAGTTGTTCTTGTAAATTACATTCAATTACTAAATGCCTGCCAACCACATTTAACACATTGTTCAATTTCCATTGAGATCCGTTGGCCAACGCATATGTAGTGGTCTACTATTGTATGTTTAGTTCTTCTCCAGATATATTTATTCCTTTGGTGAATTTAATAAACATAACATGGCTCTTTTTCAGGTTTATTTTTAAGCAAAATGGTTCTCTTGCTTTGTATAGCTCTTTGTAACTCTTCTGGGTCTTGTGAGAAGAGAACAACATCATCTGCAAATCTTAAGTGGTTTAAATAGGCACCATTAACTTTTATTCCATTTTTGCCCAGTCTAGTTTGTGAAATACTTCTTCAAGGCAGGCTGAGAAAAAGACAGGTGATATTGTATCACCTTGTTGTACACCTTGTTCTATAACATAAATTTAATAAATAAAATAAAGCACATTGAAATTTACTAGGTCGCTTTAATATGGGACTGTGATTTTTAGCATCCCTCTTTTTTATTCCCAGGTGTGCCTTTTCTTACAGAAGGCTTCTGGGAAGATGCAGAATGAAAAAATATTCTAGCACATGCTTAGAGTTTGAACTGGTAACAACCAGCATTTCCGCCCTTCATGCACTTTGCCTTCTTGATTCCCAAATATTATAGCAATCTGAGAAGCTGTCTTGCACCTAGTCAAATGACTGAACTGTCTAGCTCAGTACTGGGCATGCTGATCAGCAGCAACTTTCTAGATTTTAGAGTGGAATTCCTTCAGTCTTATCTGAACCAATTCCCGCAATTCTCAACCAGCAAGACAAAAGATTCAAATATGTTCTTCATCTTTTCAGGAAGTCTTATCTTCTCTTATTTTACTTTAATTAGCTACGAATAAAGCATAAAGTATTTGCAGATTTTAATGGTAGCAAACTTCATTCCAAAGTTTTAGACGCAGCCATAAAAGAATACATAAGTAAATGTATTTATCAAAGTAAATATCAAAATGGCACAGAAATACACACACACACAATACATTATGTGTGTATAATACATATGCATTTGTGAATTACCTTGCCTTTTTAAAAGGACCCTAAGATATTCAAACATAAATATTTTCATTAAATGCCTACAATATGATTTACAGTAATTTTGCAAGATTCTCAGCTTGTTTTGTCTTGCATAAACACAATTGTAGATGCAGTAAAGTGCATTTAGAGTGCAGCCAAATAAAAAACTGCTTCTCCACCAACATATTATTGCTTTGTCAATGAAAAATGTAGTGAATTGATTGCAAACTAACTGCACATTATACACTTTTTTAATGGATACAGAAAATACACAAAGTGCATTATATTGCTCTAAGTGTTTCTTGGGATTAATTATATTACTGGTCATTGATGAACTATTATTTAGATTATCTCAAAGTATAAGCAATCTAAACAACAGACTATACATATAATACATTTTATGCATTATGTGAATTCCCAAAAATACAGCAATTTCAACACAAATATATTTATGAGCAATATCCTGCAGCTGGAAAACCATTGGAGAAACAGGACACCAGTAACAGGAATTATTTGCAGTAACAACAACCTTACAAAAATGTCTATATGTCTGTATTATGCATCAATAATACTGATACAATCTGTACTATAAAACTATGTTATGTCTTTTTGGTATGTAACAACAATGAGATTTCTCGTGTTGCTATTCATTTCCTCATCACATAAGAACATCATTGGATTAAGCATTTTTATTTAATCATAAAAACTGTATAAATGGCTATAAAATCTTATACTTTTAAGTAAAATACTCATCACGTATTCTGGCTCACACTACTTAATGAGCAACCAAATCATTGTAAATACAGTCCAAAATGCAATGAATTACTGCTGTTACCCAATAATGTGGTTCCTTTTCCTGCAATAATATTGATAAAAATGTGCATTTTTCTTATTTGCAATAACAAATAATTTTTAGAAAGAGGAAAACAATTTTATTATATCTAAAACATCATGGTCAAGTTTATTGAAGGGGTGGAGGTGACAGAAATTCTGTAAATATCAATAACCCAATTGCTTGTTAAAAAAGTAAAGGATGGAGAGAAAAGAAGATGCACAATGTGGCATAAGGCCTCCAATTTCAAGAAGCTTGCAGTTTTCTGTTCCATACAGGTCATACTGTGGTGAAGCTATGACGTTATCAATATTCATGCTTTAAGTTTAAAGTGTCCACTTTCTCCTATGTTTATAAAAAAAATCACTGTTCTCTCAATTAATCTTAAAATGATTGACCAAAATAGCCTCTTTTTGCAATGAAATGCTGCTTATTTAATCTGGGCAATAAAGAATGAAGGCTAATCAATAAAATACAGAATGTTAATATTTGCCATGCAAATCCCATCTCAAACTATTTATGTCATTCTCAGGATATAACACACTGCTTACTGCTGAGTATGATGAATCAATGACAATATCTGCAACCATATAAATCTTATCTCCAAACAAAAATAATAGATATTTTTTGTACAATTCTCTAAAAGTTGCTCCCTAGGCAAATCCACGATATTTATTTAAGGCTAACTTTTTAACATTAGTGTAAATAGGCAATCATAATACTTAAGCCTATGAAAAAAATATTGAAAATTAAATGTACCAAAAATGCATCTAGTCTCCCAACATTTCTGCCAGATTTCTTTAAATATTAACTATGCCAAATAAATAGTTAATTTCCAAAGTAAAGGAAATTAAGGGGTTTTTTCAACCTATTATATTCTTCAATCCAGATATTCAAAACTGAATTGGCCTAAAGACATTAAAAAGAAAGCAGCATAATGGTTTAGTTCCAAAATAAGAATTGACCCTGATAACATCTCACTCACAGTCTACTAGTAAAGTTATAATGCCATTTATAGCCTGGTAAATTATTGATTATATCTATTCATTAAAATCAAGATTAATATGGAAAGAATGTATCCATTATCAGGGGCTCTATTTCTAGAATCAAATACCTCTAACTCATTAGTAATTGTAATGTACAACTCCATTTGTAATGTATTGCATAGCCCATTTACATTTAAGATTTAAACTTTTCAGTAAGCCATTTCTCAATTCAGTATTAGCAGAGCTTATATAGCACAACTACAATATCTTTTTCCCATAGAAAACTCACTGCCAGTCTTATCTGCCCTGCAAATTTTGAATGCATTATGCATAATGTTCAGAAAAAAGCACCTAAAGTTAGATGGATGGATGGATGGACAGACAGATTTGAACATACTGTATGCATTTTCAATGAGATATTTTCACAATTCCTAAACCTGAGACAACACTACAAATAATTTTTCAGCAAAACAACTCCATCATTATCCCAATTACGCTAAACATAGAAATATCTACATATCAGAATAACTGTATCTTTTGAACAGTTTCCTTGCAAAAAAGAGAATAGACTGTTATACAGCAAAAAAAACTTAGGACATATGTAATAGGAATTTTAAATGAATGTATATTGTGCTTCTTTAAACTCAGAACATAAATAATCACTTATTTAACCATATGATGTACTTACTTCCTCTTAGAAGCACATACAAAAGGTTAAGACATAAAGGCTATAATCAACAGGAAAGCTGGCAAAGACTGAAGTGGCACCCAGCAGTTGCAAAAAGTACCTGAGATGCATAAACAACAGCCACACACACAGATCAAGGCTAACTCACAGCAATGGCATTACTGTAATTATAGAGGGAATGAGCTAAGGGTGCCCATATGCTAAATGCCATCAGTTGCAATTACTGTACTGGAGGCATTCACTTGTGAAGGCTGGCCCTTTGAATGGCAACAAGAAGGAAGAAATTTCCACCTTCAGTGGTGAATGATATTTCTAGAAATGGTTTCTGACTGCTGCCAGATGTCGCTTGGAAATGCAGCAATTTCTATATTTATTGACACGAGGAGCAAGCTAGGTGAAGACGCGGGTCAGGCTGGGGAGCAGAGCCTAAGCCGCAAAAAGGGGAACAATGACTCGAGAAGCAGAAGGCGGATCAGGCGGTGGGGGGGGGGGGGGGNGGGAGCCCTGGGGAACTCGCCCCGAAATGAGACGGAGAAAGAGATGAATAGTTAAGAGGGAAGCGGGAGAATAGCAGAACTGAAGAGGAAAATCGCAAAAAAGAGTGGGAGCACAGAGAAGAAACTGAGAGGTGCAGTTGCCGAACTCAGCCCCCAGAAAGAGAGTTTTGAAGGACAGCGTGAAGAATATCACTGCAAACGAAAATACGACATGTAATAATACTCCATCATTTTAACCTTCGTAGTATTATTACTGCATCTTTAGTATTCGTAAGAATACTAGAATAACACCACCAGAACCATTCCTAACGAGGCGCGTTGCAGGACTGGGGTAGCCCATTCCCGCGGCTCTTTCAGAACTCCGGCACCCGGAGTGGCAATCCGGAGCAAACGCAGCGCTTTCAACGCGGACACCCAGCCTTACCAGAGAGAATCCAGGTCCCACTCCTGCAGGAGCGCCAAATCGAAGCTGTCCATAGTGAAACCGAGGGAGCTGGAAGATGTCAGCACCGCTCCGCTGCAGCCGAGCGGCGGCCACGCAGCGCCGCGGGTGGGCGCACAGCGGGGAGACTGAGCTCACGCGGCCCCTCCCTCGCCCCCCGCCTCTTCCCTGGCTAGAGAAAGACGCAGCGGTCGGAGGGGTTTCCCCCTCTCCCTCTTCTTCGGCGCGCTTCTTCTGCCTGCCGCCTCGCTCGCTTCCTTGCCCCTCCTCCACCGCCCGCCCCAGCGCGGGGATGCGTGTATGCAGCGTGTGACTCGCTCAGGCTGGCTGGCGCGCTCGCCGAGACTGCTGCAGGAGAAGCTCCCGGTGGCTCCTCGGGGGTGGCTCGAAAAATAAACAAAGCGAACCGAGACGCCGCGAGTACCACCCTCTGACCGCTTTTGTTTCTTGCCTCGACTTCGGCCCTCGTGCTGTTTTTTTTTGTTGTTGTTGTTTAAATACCACCGAAAATACGCATGTCTCAGCCGCCGAGGGTGGTAAAGCCACCTTAGCAGACGTTCAGGAGAAAGGGTTGTGTTGAAGAGGAAGGAGAGGGAAAGGAGCGGGATTGATTTAAGGTGACCTTTGCTTTCTCAAGCATCCTTCTCTACCCTGGCCCTGCTCAAATATTTTCTCAGAAGCCTCTTCTGAGACAAATAGAACATTTAACCTTTAAATTGGGAGAGGGCAGGGCAAGCTAAGGATCCCCAGATTTTACCCTATCCATCTTTCCCAAGTGCCCAATCAAATTGCAAAGAAGCAAATAATAACGTAAAGCATGTTTTGGGCAGAGTGTGGACATGACTGAAGGAGGGAATCATTAACTATGCAAATTAATATTCCAGGTAGTCCTCAGATG